TTCGCCCGATTCATTGGAGGGAGTTGGCTCCAGGGTGAGGCTTTTCTCGCTGCTAACACTTGGCTTCCGAGTCGTCGGATTTGTTGCACTTGAAACAGAAGACTGTCGGCGAGGATTGAGATACGATGGCTTGAGATTAGGGCTCGTCGAGTTGACTGAAGACAGGTTGTTCCATGTTGCAGAGGCTGGAAGTTTAGGCGGCGGCATATGATTGTACTTGGCTGGATCACCATCGGTTTCTGGCTTTTTGGGTTTCGAGTTGCTGCGAAGCCGCGCCACCTTAAGCCGATCCCGAAGAGAGGAGCTGGACGCAGTGACAGTGACACTCTCAGGCTCCGAGGGCGTCGATATCTGGCTGAGCCGCTCTGGGGCGGGTGTGAAAATGGCACTTTGCGTCTGAGGTCGTGGACCATTCAACTTGTGTGTCTGCGTCCTATTTGAGTAGTCGGCGCTGACCTGGTGGCGGAGATGGTTGAGCTCGGCACCACTCTTGGGCAGCGTGTATGAGGCATACGGAGAGATGCTGCGAGCTGCACTTGGCGTTTCAAATGACTCAAATGCGCTGGTACTGCTAGAAGCTCGCAACGCGGCGGTTGATGAGCTGACGACAAAATGAGACGTACTGCTTCGTGCTTGGGTGAGGGGCACTTGGTCATCTTCGTCACGGTACCAGAAATTTGCCTTGGATGCTGTCATCGGAGTACTGGGTGTCTTTGAAAGCACTTGGTTGGAGGGGGTGTGGGCCTTGCGCTCGTCGTCCCTGTCTTTGAGTGCCTCAATTTTGGTCGTCATGGGTGTGCCCAAAGGCAACAAATTCAGCGGGGGCAATTTCAAGGGCTGCAAACCCTTCCGTCCTCCCAGAACAGTAGAAGTTCGTGATCGTGAATCAGGAGTTTTTGTTTCGGCAGGGTCAACTTTGTCAACTTGGGCCGTGGTGTGGGCTTCGGAGTCTGAATCTTTGATATTCATAAGGCTCAAATCCACAGGAATACTTGATTTTCTGGGCGCGGGGAAGAAAGGCGCATCCAGTTCACCTTTGGGCGATTCGTAGGCCTTGGGGATCGCTGGAACCGGTGGTACTTCTTCCCCGTTAGAGTTTGTTTGCTCTGTACGCGGCTTGGGCGTCGGGAGTCGTGACGAAGATAGATTTTGGGACAGTCGGTTTTGAAGAGAGCCCCCAGAAGTTCGAATTGAGCTATAGCTGGTGCTTGAGGAAACAGACAACCCCGAACTATACGACTTACGATTTGGGTCAGGTGTGGTTCGGTTCGAGGAAGGTGTGACGCTTTTCCTCGGAATTTGAGAGGGAGATTGAGTTGATGATAGAGGACGGATGGGAAGAGGTTCTGTCTGGGTGGGAGGTGTATGTGGCATCGGAGGGGCAGGAGGCGCAATCGACATTCGCTTCAGTCGTCGTGCATCAGTGGGACTGATCGTTCGAGCACCAAGTCCAGTGGCATGTGGCGGCATAACAGAAGCCCGCTTGGAGGTAGAGGAAGGAGTTCCCACGGCGCTAGAAGGGGTTCTCACCGGGGTTCGCACGGCATTGGTGGAGTTCGAGCGTGTGTGGTCAACGGGCCCAGAGGCAGTCAGAAACGGACCACGGGGTTCCCTTGGACTGGGCTGAAATGACTTTGCCTTAAGGTTTCGAACAGAAGACGGCACCTTGGCATCGGACTCTGGGAGTCGGGGGCGAAGGAAGTTATTTGTCGAGGCGGTGTCCGTGTTGATTTTGCGGGCACTGAGACTGGCGCGTCTGGCCGAAGCATTGGTAGGCGCAAATGCCCCAGAGCTGATAGATTTGCGCGAACCCCTTGAAGCACTTGGAGCAGACGGCTGGGCTATACTCTGACGGCGAGCGCGGGTATTGGCAGAGGATGCTGCGAGGCCTGCAGCGGTATTGGGACCGTTCGGACGTTGCACTTCACTCTTTCGTCGAGCAGAAGGACCCCGTGTACGATCCGATACATTGCCCGCATAAGTGTGGTTTTCCCAGGGATTCGTCAGACCTGTTTCACGATTCTCACCCGAACTACCATTCCCGGGCATGGGGAAGTGGTTCAAGCTGGGTTCACCCATGATGCTGTTATGAAAATCATCAAAGTTGACCGGCGCTAGAAATTCCATGTTGTCTGCATGATTGGAGCTAGCCTTTGAAAGGTTCCCCACGCTCGTAGATCGAAGGTTGAAGCTTTTACTCGAATCAATCGTAGAATCAACGGACGAGTTCCCAGAATGAAGGTACGGGCTAGGTTTGCTAGATATCGAGTTAGTTCAAAGTCAAATCACAAGAGAAGAACTGGACATACCTCCATCGCGAAGCGTCTTGCGGTCGTGGGCCCTGAGGAACCCTTTGGTCGCGAATTGAAAGTCTTCTCCTGTTCACCCCACCTGCGCGCGGTCCGGCGACCCCGTTTGAAGTATCAAAATTCATGTTGTTCGAGGGGAAGTTGGTCGAGGCTGACTTTTGCAGGCGCCTGCGGGCCGGAGCCTCTGCTGTTCATTGTCAGTATCTAGCTGCACCTTCCCGACATCTCAACTCTTACCTCCCGAGCCCGAATCATCGTTTGAGGGATTGTGTGCTTGAGCTTCGGTCCGTGTTTGACCCCTCCCAGGTGTTTGCGGTTTTGTCGGCATTGTTTTTTAAGCCCGCGCGTTTTCAAAGGAACGGAAAAGGAGTAGATATCGCAATTGCATTCAGGAGAAGTGCGAGGTCTCAAACCAGGAGATACTTGAGCACCGTCGCGCGACTCTTGACAGCTACCGTTCCATTGCGAGTGAAAAAGCAAGGGCCAAGGTAAGTTCTCTTTGATAATAATTTTGGGGAAAGCAGGGTTGCTGGGGCAAGTCCACTAAGGCGGTAACTAAAGGGAAAAAGAAGGTAATTTGGGGGGGGGGAAAAAGGTGGATTTTATAACCCCATCAACAAAGGGGATATTTAGATGAAATCGAAGATGGATGTGAATAATCCCAGATAAATATATATATAATAATAAAAATTTAAGAAAAAAAGAGTGTCAAAGAGACAAAATGAAGACTTTTGTTTTTTTTAGTGTGAGAACTATCGAATTTCGAGGTTCCCCTGATGCAAACAGGATTATGTCAGCCTTCCCCGGTGCAGGGGATCGGCAAAAGCATGTGCTCGGGCTCTCTGACAGTTATTCTGTTCTTATTTTTACTTCCTTTATTCTTCTCACCCTATGTATAAATCATGGATGGATTTACAGAATCCCTGAACGAACCTAAGGTTTCAAAACGGAATGGACCTGGTTCGCCAGACAGTTCGCATTCGAGATCCTCCTCTATCTCTAAGAACTCACTGCAGGACCGCCTATTTACAAAGTATGCTTGGATCCAGTAGATCTGTGAGGGGCACGAACTAACAACTATAGGCTTCTCCAACAAGTCATCCCAGCGGACGATGAGGATGAACCTGATTCATTGGGAGACAAGGCCTTGGCCTCTCCTAAGAAACCGGCTTTTAGTCTACCTGTAATGGCAAACAATTTCCGCCGCTTTAATGCAAGGTAGGACTGCATCATCCCCTGTGATATCTACTGAAACTCAACAAATACTATAGAATCGGTGTGGTATTTCTGTTCCAGAGCCGTGTTGAGCAATTATTCACCTGGGACACACCAACCCATACTATCTCTTTCCTTTTTGTCTACTCTTTCATCTGCCTGGAACCTCATCTACTTTTGGTTCTGCCTCTAGTGGTTCTCTTGCTCTTCATAATGGTGCCAGCTTTTGCGACTCGTCATCCACCACCTCCAAACACCTCGACATCCAGCACTACTCCTTACTACTCCTTTGATGGACCAGCCCTAGCACCAGCCACGACTATTAAGCCAGCCCCAGAGACTTCCAAGGATTTTCTTCGGAACATGCGAGATCTACAGAACTGCATGGCTGATTTCTCAGATGCCCACGATGCAGCTATCAATGTTGTTGCACCGCTGACAAATTTCTCCAATGAGAAGCTCTCTTCAACTCTATTTCTCGGATGCACAATAGCCATAGTAGTGTTGTTTATCAGTGCACATCTGCTGCCCCTCCAAATTGTGGTGCTCGTTGGCGGCAATGCGTTGGTTCTCTCCATCCACCCAACGGTGGGGCAATTCCTCTCCAGTCTGATACAAGACATGACGGGAGATTCCATGGACGCAGATTCAGATGATAATGGATTCGCTTCATCAGTCCCTGCAGATCCATCTGCAGCGATGTCAGCCATGGAAAAGCTTGCAGATATCTCCTTGGACATATATCCCGAAGAGCGGGAGGTGGAAATTTTCGAGCTGCAGCACCGGGCTGCAGGATCGTCAGAGTCTGGGTGGGAGAGCTTCCTATTCAGCCATGCGCCATACGACCCGCTATCACCATCTCGCATCGCTGGGGACCGACCTCGTGGATGTCGATTTTTTGAGGATGTCCGTGCCCCGCGTGGATGGGCCTGGAAAAGCAAGAAGTGGGAACTCGACCTAGACTGCCGTGAATGGGTGGTGGAGCGCATGATCACCAGTGTTGGGTTCGAGGTTCCAGGTGTGAATGCCGAAGGCAACGCCATTGTCGGAGAAGTTGGTGGTTGGGTTTGGGACTTGCCTCCAACTCGGCAGGAGTCAGATGACGATTTAACGCTAGCCTACGGAGATCTGCCAGAGCCACCATCTCCCAAAGAAGCCAAAGTCAAGCAGAACGAGAAGGCGAAATTACGGGATTGGGAGGAAGGGACCGCGTCCTACGGAGTGGGTGAATGGCGACGCCGACGATGGGTTCGAGTGGTGCAACGAATAAGCCTTCCGCCGGCGGGGGGTGTGACCTACTCGACGCTCAGTAGTAACAGCTAGAGGAAACACGAGATAACGAATCCAAGCGGCTCATTTGCCGTCCAATAATATTTACTTCGGGACACACGTATCCATGTAGACACTTTTGATAAACAGAAAAAGATAAACGCCAGACTCGCCCTAACCAGATGCTCAGAACAAATGAACAAGGCATTATGACTGACTCTTCTTCCACTTGTTAAGTCTCCTCCGCAAATCACCCTCGCTCTGCTGCATAGGATTCAGCTTGCGATCACGAGTCATAGCAGAAAAATTATCTCCATGCTTTTCAATCAAGCGCTGGGCCCACTCGCCCTCGCGCGAGCTCTGGTACCGCGGCTTCTTAGCACGGACAGTCTTGCCCTCTTGATCCGCCTGGCGCTCAAGCTGCTGCACAATCAACGAGTCTGCAAGAGGGTTGCTCTCGCCATTGCCTCCCAAAACGTCGTTCAGAGGGTCGTTAAGCGGGTTGTTGCGTGAGCGCTGGAGACCCGCCACTTCAAAGTTGTCTTCGTCGTCGTGAATGACGCGCAGAATGGCACCAGTCTCAGGATCGCGCTCGACTCGTGTCTCGCCGAGGTCGAGCTTGGCTGCGGCTGCTTTGGCGCTACCGCGGATGTGCAGCGAGTTCTTGTTGTCGGGGTATTGGTCCTTGTTTCCGGGGAGGCGTTCGCGACCACCGGATGGTGCATTCAGCTTGTGCATCAAACCAAGGCGCTGGTAATTTTGTGTCAGGGTGAGATCACGATCCCTACAGTCGTTAGTATTTGGTATTTTTAAGGTGAAAAGATGTGCATACCAGTTGTCCGCGATGATCTGATTGCCCAGCACATTGATCTTCTTGTGGCCGCTCTTGAGGCGGTTGTCCTTAGCCCGGGCCATGGAGCGCCCGGAGCGGGCCTTCTTCTTTTGCAAAACTTTACCCATTGTGAATTGTGAAGTGAGTGTAGATGTCAAATGGGTTCTTCTTCGCTGTAGTCGGCGATAATAAAAAGCGTTATCGAAACTTTTTTTCCTGAGTTTGCAGGTCTTGGCATGTTTGCTCACGGTCCCGCGATAAACAACGATAGCGGCTCAGCTGTACTTCCGGGGGCTATATCCCCTGTCACTTAACAGAAACCTGGTCAATTCCTTCGCAATGGCTTATCGTTTCTTTCCTTCACGCGGAACAGGCATTGCCCTTGTAGCGGGATGTCTCTTGTTCTCAGCCTTGGCCGCGGCTAATATTGGCCCCGGAGAGCTCTCCGTGGCCCAGATCGAGGAGCAATTGCAGGTATGCTGTACAACGTACCATGTGCTCTACATGTGAACTAATCTGCCACAGAGCTGTCCACTAGTTGAGTCTCTCAATGAGCACAAGCGTGCAACCCGCCCGGAGACTGCTAGCTTGATGTCGAAAATCTTCGCCGTCCTCTTCCCAAGCACCCCAGCCGTGAACGCGCTTCTGGCAACTTTGTATATTTCCGGTCCACCCAGTAAGTCTTCCCCTCAATACTCGCAATATGTATTTTGCTGACTGCTCTAGACTTCCTGCTGGCGCTATGCCCACCCAACATTGATCCCTCCTCGCTGTCCGTGATGGTCGCATTTGCCGTCGGTGGCTTACTCGGCGACACCCTCTTCCACCTACTCCCTGAGATCTTCGTCGGCGAAGCCTCTCCCGACCACGTGAGCTTCGTAATGGTCGAGCCCAACAGGAACCTTCTTCTCGGCCTGGGAATCATGGTCGGATTCTTCACCTTTGTCGCAATGGACAAGGCTCTGCGCATCGCGACTGGCGGCGAGGGTGGCCATGACCACTCGCACAGCCACGCGCACGCCGAGTCAGTCGCTGCAGTTACATCCAGCGCCGAGACTAAGCAGTCCAACGGCGAGCTTAAGAAGCGCAAGTCTGCCGCGAAGGAGTCCTCTGAGGTCGTTCCCGAGAAGGAAATCAACCCCAGCGTCAAGCTTGGGGGTTACCTAAACCTTATCGCCGACTTCACCCATAACATCACCGATGGCCTTGCCCTCTCTTCTTCCTTCTATGCCTCGCCTACCATTGGCGCGACGACCACTGTGGCTGTCTTCTTCCACGAAATTCCCCATGAAGTCGGTGACTTTGCTCTGCTTATTCAGTCCGGCTTCTCGAAGCGCAAGGCTATGGGCGCGCAATTTGTTACCGCTATTGGTGCATTCTTGGGAACCTTTATTGGAATTGCCGTTCAGGAGTTTGGTGGCAATGGCACTATGTTGGATGATACCGAGCCTGCTGGTCTTATGGGAACCAGCCTTACTTGGGGTGACATGCTTCTTCCGTTCACGGCTGGCACATTCTTGTATGTTGGCACCGTGGCTGTGATCCCGGAGTTGCTAGAGACTGGTAAGGATAAGGGTGTTGAAGTGCGCAAGACTATTACACAGTTTTTGGCTGTTGCTCTTGGGGCTGGCATCATGCTTGCGTAAGTATCTGTTTCCCCCCTCTACAAGGCTTCGGTGGGATAATTATCGCTGACACACTCTATAGTATTTCTTGGGATTGATGGAGTCGTATGGGCACTGGTTTATTCTGGCATACACCGGCAATGTCATAATCTGCCCAGCACTATTGGGCCTTGGTCCAATAACAAAAGTCTCTGCCTTTTATTGATTGAAAAGGATACATAAGGGACGCCCTGACGCCCGACTTACTGATAGATAGACCAACGCCCTGTTCAACCAGATACTATGGTGCTTTTATATATGATAATTTAAAGTCATCTTGCACGAATAAGTAACCGTTCATTCGAGATGGCAATTGCCACGCTAGAGTCAAAATAAATGCACAAGAATCGTCAAGCCAGCAATACCCCATAACTAACTCCCCTCCAAAATGAATGAATACCCAGTCATATTCCTTGGTAATACACAGAAGAATGCAATGTCAATTTTGGAATTTGGGGAAGTAACCATCCCAAGTACATATGAAATAAAAACCTCGACATAATGTTGCTAATGAATCTCTTGAATGGCGAAGAGAGGCGAGAAAGAGGCGAATACGTGCACGGCGCAATGTATGCAAGAGAAATAGATGTTGGACGAGGCTGGAAGCCATTTACTCGTTATAATGGTAGACCTGAAAAACATGTTAGCAAGATTATTCCCTTCTATGTAAGACCCAAATGGAAACATACGAAGTAATCTGGGAGTCCAATGACCTCATATCCCAGTCTGCGAGCCATCTTCGCGAAGCCCTCCGTCTCCACCAGATGGAAGAACGGGAAGGCGGGGAACATGGCGCCGTCACGATGCACATCGGCCTTGACCAACAAGGCCGTACCACCAACACCGTCAAGAGCGAGCATCTTCTTCGGATCAAGCTTTTTCATATCCGGCAAGTGCGCCATCAAGGTGCGATACGTAGGCATCTCAGCATAGCCTTCCAAGAGAATCTCATCAGGCCCCATGTTCGCGGCGAGATTCTGCGCGGTCTGGCTATCAACCCAGGAGTTGAAGTCATAAGGCCTGATATCCCACTTCCTCTTCGAGGAATCATAGTAGCGCTGAAAACAATTCGGCACAATAACAGGCTGGTCGAAAGCTGTTAGATCTTGAATGAGAGAGGCCGGTGTCTCGACGACGTCACTGTCCAGCCAGAGGACCCATGAAGTCCCAGGACCGAGCGTTGTAAAGACCAGACTATTTCTCGCACGACTCATCGACTCGCGACGCTCTTTCTGTGCGGCCATTGCATGGCGGGCCTTCTCATCCTGGGATTTCAATGGGGGTCAAAGTCTTGGCGCAGGATGCTAATGCTCGCGAAGCGGTTGTCGATTGGCCCCGATTGCGTCTTGGCAATGGCCTTTTCCAGAGCCGCAACTGCAGTGTTTCCTTCGCTCGTCTTGGGTGCGATGAATCCCAAGGAGACCAGCTCGTGTGGATATGTCAGCCTCTCGATGTTATCCCAGTATCCTTGATAGAATCGGGCTAGCGGGGTGAGGATGAGGACCCGCTCGCCGTTGGCGACTGAGTCCGCGGTGTTGGTTAGGTTGTTAAGGTTGTAGTGGACAACCGGGGGAGCTGCCTTGTACCCATCGCTTCGAACTGCCTGCGATTTGAAGAACGGCTTTGTGGGTGGGGAGAGAGGGTGTTCGGCGGCGTTTTCCTGGCGCTGCTGGGAGCTAGCGGATGTGGAGGATGCGGAGGGAGTCGAGGGCGAGAGCATGAAACATATGAAGCCAAATGCCAGCAGCGCTGCTAGCACGAGGCTAATTGGGCTCGTGCGGCGCATGGAGCGTGCAACGGCCATGGCCGATCAACGTTAAATTGGAGATTGCGACGTGTCGCTGTCCAGTGAAACCGCTGAAGTTTGGTCTGCGGTGATGCCTCAGGCACGAATGAACCAGATTAAAGGTATTCAGCCTGGCCTCAATTCCTCCCCTGGTGACGACTATGAGAAAGTAATTTTGACGTGAAAGAGATTAGAAATGTCAAAGAGAACTGCTATAAATGACTTTTAATCTTTGCCCTGTCCGGAAAGAGACAAACCAAGACAACCCATGTCACTTCACTATCAAGGATATTTCGACAATGGCCGAGATCACAATCCAGTCGCATGGTCCAATTACGGATCGCCATTCGCTCGGGGTTTGAAAATACTCTGCGTTATCTCGGAATACTTTAAGGAGGGTCCCGAAGGGTCTCATCGCCGAATGCGGCCCGTCACTACTACATTCCTGATCACGGACTGCCCTGACTGAGAATTGAATTCCCTCAGGGGGAAGTAGTGCATAAACAATGGGTATGTTCTTCTATTTGAAGTAATTATCTAGCCATGGAACTTCGGTATATTCAATCATTTTTAGGTTCGTGTAGACCATGGGGGAGTTAGGGCAAGGTACGCATCACACCTTCGAACGCAACCAGAGCCATTGCATTCGCCGGGAACGCTCTAAGGAAGCATGGCACAAAGCCCCGCCAGTACCCTCTCCACCCACGCTCACGCCATACGGCGGCTGCAGCGTCCTTCCAGCCGCGGAATTGTCGCTTGCCGTCATTCAGCGCACCACCCATAGGGTCGGTCATAAGGCGCTGCTTAACGACGTCGCACGGGTAGGCCATGAGCCAGAAGCATTGGGCGGAGATTCCACCGGACCAGAAATTGATCGCAGGGGCAGACAACGTGGTGTTCTTTTTGAAGTAGCGAGTCAGGACGTCATAGGAGCCCCACCAGACGAAGAAAAAGGAGCGGAAGAGGATCGTTGCCCAGAGTCCGCGGTATAGGCCGCTAACGCCATGCGTGCGATACTATTTATGTCAGTTGGTGAGTATCTTATGTAGTCATTGGGACTCACCATCTTGCGTAGGCAGTCGATCGGCCCGCTGTACATGCGCTTCGATTTGTCGGCGGCGTATTGCACCTGCAGGCGTGCCTTGACGTGCTCGACTGGGGCCGCGACGAAGCTGACCGTTGTACCTGACATGACACCTGCAATGCCATGTCCGAAAGTAGTAAGGGTTGCGAGGTCTGGCTGGTAGCTCGAGAAGGGGAGGTAAGGGCGGATGTGAGGTTTCGAGAAGACGTTTTCGAGTAATAATCGGCGGTATAGAGCCAGGGATCCCAGCATGCTGCAGGCAAGTCAGCACTATTCCTTTTGGTATATAGCGTGGAGCACTTACACAGAGTCCATCACCATCCATCCGACCAGCGGTGGTGTAGCTCCTTTGTAAAACCCTTGTAATCCTTCATTTCGCAAAGTCTGCAATATGCAATCCAACGGTCCTCGGAACTGCACATCTTTGCTAGTTTGTAGGCGAACCTTGATGGTGTCGAATCTGTGCAATTTCGTTAACAATTGACCCAAGGTGAAATAGTTCGGTATGCATACGGATGGCCAACTGTAGAAAACAAAATTAACTTCAACTCCAAATCAAAACACAGCACACAACCTACCAATAAGCTTCGCGATGCCTGAAAAAACACCCCCACAAAACCCTTGTAATTCGACTTCGATGTCCCAGACTGAGCAAGCGCGTTTTCTGCCTTCTGTTGACCCGTCATATCAGATACCGAAACAGGTAAAGGCGCCGGCGCCGATGACATCGTTTAATAGCCCCAAGTGTTTCCCTTAATCTCTGATCCTGGATCGCAGACCCAATGCGTCACGGAATGGACGCTTCACGCGAGTCGTAGGGTGCTCGTGCGCAACGCGTGGGCGATTAAATCGAAATGTGACGGATGCCGATAAGGATAGAGTGATCTGGGGTTAGGCTGCCAAGAAGGATTTTGCAAACTGCCGTGTCTTTTCTGGGGAATCTGGGGTATATATATTGTATGACTTTAATGGAGTAAATGAAAGAAATATTGCTGGGGGGAAGTTGTTTTAATGATCATTTGCGCCCCGCAGATTCCTCTCGGGGAGAGTGGGTGTTCCTCCGAATCGCGGGCGATGCCTTAGGCGCATATTGGAGGTGGCGTTGGAGCTAGCTCTATATGGAGTAGTAAATCTGGGGATTAGCTTTGAAGGTGTGTGCATGTATATCTCTTATTTTGATCCGTGTAGAATCTAGGTAACCCGAGACCAATCTCAAAGACAATAGAGCACTCGATGTGAAACCCGAGGGAAGTCGTACAAGGTCCAAATTTTTTTAACAAGACGAAAAAAACCATTGCTCGGATCACCTGAAGGCCAAAAAGGCACTCCAAATCTAGGCAATACGGAAGACGCGGCGGACTCCAAAAAAATATATCCATAATCCAACAAACAAATCCAAGCGTCAAACCGTCAAACCGCCAAACCAACATTGGGCCTCAACATCCTATAGCCTCAATGTTGGAATAACCATGATCATAACATCAGGTTGAATGGCTGTTACTGTGGTTAAACCAAGAGTTTAACAAATGATACGTTTCATATTGAAGGTTGATACTTGGGCTCCACTTGGATATGCCAAGGTCCAGAGGCTGGACGAGAGTGGGTATATAATTTAGATACATGATGTCGTGATGCAAGATCAAACGCAGTAGTCGACCCGAGGCCGAAGATGTTTGATGAGTGAGAATGAAAAGAATGCAGAAACTGAGAAGCAGAAAACGATAAAAAGGAAGCCCCATGCAACCTGTATCAGCCCTGTGGGGTGGCTCATTTTGTTCCAGAACACCAAAAAGCAAATATAGAACGAACAGGCACGAAAGAAGAGTTCCAAGAAAGCCCATGTTCTAATGGATGATAAACAGAAACCTTTTGATGCAAAGCCGGGATGGGATACGTCTATTACCGGCCCTTGGCGGGCTTTCGAGTCATCTGCCGAGCCTTCTCCTCATAAGCAATGAGCTTCTCCACCAGCTCAGCCGGAGTGCCGGACTTCCCGGGGTTCTTTAGGACATCTCGTGGAGTCCTCTCGGATGTGTTATTCATCGAGCCATGGGCGAGGTAATCACCTGCCTCTAGCGCCAGGGGCGTGACGGGTCCTGGGCTGACCAGAGGGTCCAAACGGGGCGCCGAAGGACCTTGGTGGACGCCCTCGATGAATTCACGGTACTGCCACATCATATCGCGTGACCCTGCTGTAGTGCGGTAGACAGGCTGCCGGGATTGGCGAGGAGATGAAGGCTGGGAAGTGGTGTTGTGGGAAGTGCTGCTCGACTGATATACAGCGGGATGGAACCGGGGCAGGCTACCGAGATGGAAATTCTGAGTTTGCTTGGCCTTGGATGGATTCTGGGTCCGTGAACGAGGTTGGGGAGAGTTTGAGCGTCGTGGAGACATGATAGGCGAGGCAGCCGGGGAGTAGTAAGGTGAGTTATCAGAACGCATCCTTGTGGAGGATGACAGAGGCCGCGATGAATGGCTACGACGAGCAGGCCGGATTGAATGGATTTGTCGGGAGTTGGATTGAGATGCACGTTCCCAATCGTCAAAATAAGAGTGATCGAATCGACCGGTGAGTGGTGTTACTGGAAGGTCGTATATTGGACCGGGGCGTCTTGGGATTGGAATGGGCCTCGTAGATGATGAGGTAAGCGAGTCAAAGTTGATCGGAATAATATCCGGGTAACGCCGAGGCGAAGGGGGAGTATAAGTAGACGAGGTGGCTGTCAAATCTCGCAGGGAAGAGAGTGACACAGGTGTGGGGTAGCCGTGTTTGGTGATCAGACTTTCAAGATGATCTCTTGGTTGGAATGCCGAGCGTCGGTACGAGGCTGATGATAGGCCTAAAAATTAATCAGCCTGGGAATGAGAATGCCACACGTGTTTAGCGAAGAATGTATGAAAGCGTATCGCGATAGCCGACAGAATAATATCACGAGAGGGGAAGGTTTGAGCATATAGATCCCATAATAGACCAATGGTGAAGGAGGGGGAAAAACACCCGGAATCTCAAAATGGGAAAGATAGTCAAAATCAAAGGGTAATTGAGCCACTTACTTGGGGAAAATGAACTACTACGTGATGAGAGGTAGAAAGAAGATGAAGAGGAAGAAGAGGAAGAGAATGAAAAAGGGGAATCTGAGGGAGAATGTTTTCGCATCTGTTTTTTTTTTCTTGGTTAGTGTTAAGCACTTGCGGGGGAAATCTCCACCAAAATTTCAAGAATAGAAATGAAATTACAAAATGACGAAATTCAGAGAATGAAAATAACGTAAAAATAAAAATGCAAAAATACAAAAATACAAAAAAAAAACAACTTACTAGATTCTACCGAGGACTCCGATGCCCTCTAAAACTCTTGACTTCAAGGCTCAATCCAAGGTTGGAGACGGGATGACGAATGTGCCGCTTTAATAGTGGAGCATAGATCCCCAACGATAAAAAAAAATTGAAGATGCAAGAAAAAAAAAGCAGAAGAACTAGGAAAGGCCCTTCTTAAAAGCTCCGAGCCAGGCACCTGTGAAACCAATATTTCACCCAGGTACACTTCTCTCTCCACGCGCAACGGCCCGGTGACCTATAAGTTCCTTCAAAGGGATCCAAAAATATATGACTTCTTCATATCAGAAATCGACATAATCCAGTTTTGATTTAGCGAGAATGGACGCCCAGAGTGAAAATGGGTGAAGATCCCCGTCCAATTGCGATTGATTGACTGGGGGTGTCATGCGTCAAGCTGGTCATTTCTGATTCGCACGCGTCTTGACTCAACACAGTGACGTCCCGACTACCGACTCATGTCATCCGTCTACATCTCTAGGGCTTTCTGCTAAAGCCAATCTGTCCCTAAACTAGATATCATATTCCATTCAGCCAACCATAATCCGCGTTGCCTAGTCCGCCTCATCACCCGACACCTATCACTAAGCGTGGAGGGATGAAACCGTCAACGCTGACTGGCTGGTACACTGGACTGAACCTCCTTATAATGTAATTATGGGTGCTTGATACAACCTCATGATGGTCTGGTGTGCGTACATGTCTCGGATTACCGTCCAAGCTCCCGACCCATCTAGCTACCCCTTTGCCGGAGTGATGCATTTAGTTACAAGGCTGCATAATTGGATATCTTTAGAACGGGATCTTCCATATTCAAATATCTTTGTGTTGGATGAACTGTAATCCCCCAGAGTGACATCTAAATAATACCCGCTAGAGTCCCAGGCGAACTAATAAAGACAAGGATGAATTGGGGCAACCGATTAGTCTTCTTTGGGCTCGCTGCAGAATTGGCTGGCTTTGGTTTCATTATCGCGCACCGTGCCTAGGTGCATATCTAAAGCTGATCTTCTTCACCTTGGAATATGTGTATTTAGAATCAAACAACCAGTAAGTGGCGAATGATACATTGATACTAAGTATGCCTACCATTCCTAATATTAGAAAGTAAATCGTAATTTCGGCAGCTTTGCCCTTTGCCCCTGCATACTGTGAGTTTTACACGTCGAATTTTCTGCTGTAATACAGGAAGAGAGTAAAATTTACTAGCGAGGAGTCTATAGTCCCAATTCAAATTCGAGTCCAAGTCCACGGGAAAAATTGTGAGAGCCTCGGCCCTTCGCCCCCACCACGGAAATTATCTGACGCAGTGAGACCAATCTTGGAATCCCATTCGGAATATGTATATCCCAATATAAGAGGGGAAAAAAATCTCAAACCGAGCAAAATACACAGCCAACAAAGCAAGCGGGTCTCATTTCCCACGGCCTCGCCCAACATGACAAAGCTACGTGTCAACCGGATCCCTCCGGAGTTCCCACAGTCCCTAATGTTGATATCAAAGCCTGTCTCTTTTTCCCTCATAGACCAAAACTGTCGATATCATGTCAGTGCCTTGTCAAAAAAGGAAAAGCGGCCCGCATCTGCAGCAGACCGAAAAGACAAGCTTACCAGCATAATCTCAAACACGAATGACCCACATATCCGCGGAAGTTTACTAATTCGTTGCCCTAACTTGGTATACATGTCACCAGTTAGATAGCCAGTTGACTTCCGCATTGTGGAGATTTACTCGAAGCCCGGCGTAAGGGGGTTTAGTGTCGCATACAGTGGCTTGCGAGCCCGTCAATAAGGCGTGCTTAGCGCCGGCTTGCTGCATGGGAATGATACCCGACGCGGGTGCGCGGGGCAAGGTGGTTGGTGGGTTAGAGTAAGTGCTTACGGTGAGCTAGAAAAGTGGGCTGATATACTCCGTACTTCGTACAGCGCATCTCTATCACACTTGGACTGGGATTATTGGCCCAGCAGTATGCGGGCAGCCGGTGTGCCCTAGCAGAGTGGTCCGTTTCCACTGGGAAGAAATAACAGAGATCATCTGCGACCCTAGACCGTCGCGTTGTCGAAGCTTTACTCCGTGCCCGTACTAATCAGCACACCAGTGGAGATCTCACAAAATGCCCGAGCCACGCCAGCGGACGCTAGAACCAACCTTTGTTCATCTTGGGCAAAAATGGAACTGTAGCGGCCGAGATGCTAGCCCGATTGACATTGAACGAGGTTGAAGGTTGCTCTTGCAGCGGCGGGGGAGTTTGAGTGGATATCCATGAGTAACATCGTGTCCATCTGATGGACAGTTGATCCCCAAAGGCTAAAGCCGATCTCGAGAATATGGAAAACATAGTCCGGTACTCGTGAATATCGAGCTGAAAACTCAGCGTCTCAATGGGAAATTTTGCCACAGATTATATAGTTATCCAGGTCCGGATCTAAGTTTATATTCCACGCCTGTCGTCAAAACGGCCAGTCCAAAAATGCTCCAGTTGTGAACGCTGAAAAGACAGTGCCCCCCTCCATGCGAGAAGAATAAAGCCTATTTGTCCGCTGTTGTAGCCATACATATCATGCATTACACTCGGGGTACTTGTCATAAGAGCATAAAGACCAGAATAGTTTTGGGCAACGATCATCAATATCGGGAGGGATTCTAGGTCGGTAACGATAAAATGCAGGATAGGTGCTACTCTGGATTCCGTGTTGTTGATTGCTGCTCAGATTGCAAGTACTAGCTCTGAGACAGCATCTGCTTAACGCTCCTGTGAAATGTATTACTAACTAGAGGGAAAGAATGTTAGTCTTGAGACATAAGATCGACACTAGAAGATGGACACCATTGAGACTGTGACCACACGTAATATTAATTCTCTTGGGAATATGGTGTTTCTGCATACTCAATAACTGATATGGCCCACGGGCAAAATGTGACGGCTTCTATAGATACGAGGGTTTTTAGAGACTGTCACGGCAACTGGATAGGATAATATGTAGAAGTAGATAATATAATCCATAGTGCGCGTAATAGCGAGCAAACAGATGCCCCTTCAAAGGAGTAACCTACGAATACTAAATACATCTATAGGTTCAGTAACTATACGCAGGGTTATAAGGTATATAATAAGAAGAACAGTTAGCCGTTTATACGGCATTCTTATGGTTTTTTTGTTGGTCTTTCTAGTGGTACATATGTAGAAGTCCTTACACACTACCCTTCACTTACGTCTATATATATAGGGCTTACTTATGGCATTACACAGTGTCGAGAATTAGTAATGCTCATGAATTCAGCTATAGATATAGAAATACGGAGAGTATTAGTATGCCTGAGTACAGTGTTACAATTTTCTGCTAGGCAAAATACGGCTGTCGTGGTGGACCCTAAAAACCCTTGTATATAGGAGCTTTGGGTAGCCCAAAGCCCAATATACTCGAGGTAAGGTTAACTGACACAGGCAGCCACATATTGTCGCGAGTACTTTCTTCTAAATAATCAAGCCTGTATGTATTGCTGAAAACCTTTGCAAATATGTAGAATTGTGCGCAATATAGCTCTTGCATCCTATAGCCACAAATAACAAAGAGATAAAGGGAAGAATGCTAGACTTCCTACATTGGTAGGTGAACCCGACTCCTTCAAGTCTCTACTATCGAGGGGTTCCTGAAAAACTCTCTACATTTGTGCATAACATTTACGATGGGATATAAAGGTAAGGAAGTTTGTCATTTTATCTGTCTTTCTCAGTCCTTTAATAAAATGTGTTTAAAGCCCTATAAAGGAATATATACTTCCGGTAGATCGCTCTTAATACACTCTATCTACAAATAGAGACTTTGAATGTAACGAAGATACATCAGAGACATCTACCCATTTAATGGAGAGTCTCGCACTTTTGTCGACTCAATTTTTAATTGAACAAGAAAGCATTGAGCAGCACAAAGGAAGGCTTTCGCGGGGTTAGAGGCGGTCACCTGATAATGTATAAAACAAACCAATCAGAATGCCCACTGATAGCGGGAATTCTGACTCATCCTGTGATATTCCAAGAGGGGCAACAGAAGAAATTCACGATTTCCTCGACCATAAAATAAAGTGAGAACTGGCCTTTGACTGC